CACACAGTCAGGGTACGGCTGCCTAGCTTCTTGCCTATCTCAGTTGAGCAATGCCCAGCACCCTGGGAGTCACAAAGTGCAGGACTGAGGACCTGAAGACTGGGAAACCGGTCCTGGTTCGGAGCCTTAGAGCAAGAGGGAACAGTCCAACCTTGGCTTTGGAAATGCCACACTGTCCTCGGAACACGCCTGGAAGAAGTCTTCTCCAAAACAGACCGCTGGACAGACTTGACTTGAGCAAAAGTAGCACCTGAGCCTCTCGGCAGAGCCATGCGCTGAGAAACCATCTGTGTTCTCACCAGGAACCCCATGTCAAGAGGCGACTCATGTTTGCTTTCACCTTCTCCTCACTGCAACAGGGTCATGCTCGGGAGGACACTGCTGAGAACAAGCCCGGAGCAAAGGCCCACTGAGAGCAACACTGATACCAAAGCCCAAGAAAATAACTAAGTACTAAACAAAACTAATTGTGATTGACACTGGCCCCCTGGAGACCCATCAGTTGCGTTTCAAAAATGTTCCCTGTCTCTCTGATGACCCTGATGATTGCAAAGAGGAGACAGAGTTGGCGTTGAGGCATCAGCATCTCCTAGTGTGTTCYGAGCACATCAGTTCTCAGAGAAGCAAACAGATTCCTGCTCCACGCACAGAGAGATGACAGAGAGCAAAGACACTTGATCATACTCAACAAGCTTTGCTGTCCAAGCTGGAGGCCCACTGCACCTTGCAGGGTGAACAGGGGACAGTCTAAATGAAGGATGCTTCTTCCCTGTTACAGGGTCAGGCGCTCACTGCTCAAGTGCAAGAAAACAAACCCAAACCCTGAAAGGTGGGCGGAACGGCAGAGCCTTCCACTGCAAACTCCAGAAGTCATTACCTCAAGCCAGCTTGGGAGTTGTTGGCACAGCTGCTTGGGGAGAGCCTGAGAGCCATGGTTGCAAGGTGCTGTGCCCACACAAAACATTCTTAAACAAAGACTTGCTGTGAAATCAAATGGTCATTTAGAGGTTTCTTTTCAACATTTTTTTGGGGAATGGAGGGCTTAAATATTGCAAGGTGGGAGCCCAACCGAACCAGAAGTGACGGTCCAGCAAAGCCTTGTGTAGAGCCCCCTCAACTGCCACTTGCCTTAAAGAGAGGAAAAGGTGCTCAGCACTTCCCAGGCTGAGCCCACTTACCTTGCGACCCGGCTGGCAGCAAGAGCACCGTTTCTGGACTTCCTCTGTTCACGCACGGCCACTGAGCGCAGAGGAGCTGATTTGCGCCACACTTGTGTTGATTGGAGGGCCCCCTCACGTCCCTCCCGGAGCATCCCTGATCTTTCTGGACTGAGGCAGACTCGGGACTGTCAGCACTGAGGTGAATCGAGCAATAATCCAAGGCCTTGTAATTAGAAGGGGGGAAAGGGCCGAAAGGCAGCGTGGGACATTGCTGTACCTGTTCTGCAGCCAGGAGAGAAATGAATGAAAGCTGTCAAAGGCACCCTGGGAACTGCAGGATCATTAAGAGCTTGTACCGGCCATCACCCCTGTTTGAAGAAGCAGTGACTAAGATGAGCCAGGTCTCTGAGGAGCTCACCGGAGGAAATGGGAATTAAAAGTGAAATAAGAAAGGATAGGAAGAAAAATCATTGCCTCTTTTCTCCAACTCAGAGGAGGGCCTATGAACAAAATGCAGCATCCAGGAGAAGGAGGACCAGGCAGCAGCATCCAGGACAGAAAATAGGAAAGTAGGGGACATGTCTCTACCGTTAATATTTTCAGCTTAGTATCTAGCGAGAGTCATGATTTGACTGCACGTCCATTCCTCTCCCTAATGTCTTCTGAATCCAGTCCCCTTTCAGACATTTTGACTGCAATTCTCAAACCTGTGAAGCATTCAAAGCTTTGGAAAGRGCAGGGACAGCCAACAGCTGCCCCTGTTCAGGAGGTTCTCCTCTCCTGCCAGGAAATCCATGCAGAAGCTCCAAGGCAGAAGTAAAGTCATGGAGAGGCCGATCTGCCTGTTGACTCTAACCAAAGTACCTGGGCTGCTGAAATAGGGTCTACCTGACAGCCCCAGACTCTCAACCACTGTGGCCAGAGCAGCACCAACACTGAAACTGAGCTTCCCTCATCAGGTACCTCTCTCTCCAAGAGGAGGCAGCCTTTCCCCACAGCCCGTGGCCAAGGTCCGCGTAAACTTGTGTCCCACAGGCCAGTGGCTGCAGGATACAGATGCTCTTCAGACACCAGCTCCCTCCACACAAGGCTACCACTGAGAAGACCCTCCCAATGGCAGAGATGTGTTCATGACCTCAGGGACACCCAGACAATAAGGACACGACCAATTGGAGAGCTTGTGAGCGCCTTGGTCCTTTCCAACCCTCCACGAGGCTTCGTGGGGAAGGACGTAGTGATCTCAGTCCCAGATCGTCTCCACAGTCCCCAGACCCATTTCTGTTTCTGCGCTCAGCACTGACAATGGTGACAACGATGACATTTCAACTTAAATTTTTAGTCTGTAGAGAGGCTATGCCAACCTCTTAAAGCTATTATTATTTTAAGCTGTTTTTTCTGCAGACTCAGCAGACATAAATGCATCAGATGGCGTTTACAGAAGCTTCTCGCTGCCACTGGAAAGGTGGTGGTGGAGGAGCCACAAGAGAACTGCTGTCACAGCAGGCTGCTATTTCTAGAAAGCCCATTCCAGAGTAGCAGCCATACACCACTTGCCACCTAAAATCTGAGACAGCTTCCTACCCCTTCCTCTAGATGAGCAGGAGGATCCACCAACAAAGAAATCTTGGCAGGAAAGTCACAGAAAAGGCACCAAGAAACCAGGCAGCACAGGAAAATAAATGCACTGAATAATTCCCCATCTGTGCTGGCTGGGGGCTCATCTCCCATCTCGAGTGGGTGCAGCCTGGACAAACCTGCCAAAAGTAAAAAGCCTAAGGATTCGGACACCTTCTCATTTCAGCATTCTCCCTCTCTCGGGAGATCCCTCCATTTTCTTCCATTACAATGGAGAAGCTGTAACTTTGAAAACAGCACATTGACCAAAACCCAGCTACTGGCACCAAAATGGAGTTTCTCAGAATGGTTCAAAACACCTTCACTCTGTCCCGGTGTGCCTGCACATTACAAAACATAGCTCTCTTTCCACAGCTTCCAAAACAAAGCTACTCCAGGCTCAAATTTCCGAGACTAGATGTATAGAAACGTTCATATGCAATTAGAGCAAGCAAGGACCTGAGGGAGCTTTTGTTCAAATTAGCTCTACTGTCCCTTTATAAAAGCAGACAGAAAGCTACACAAAACAGCTAAAGGCCTCTGTCAGAAGAGCATGACAGGTCAGAGCATCACCAGAGCAAACGCTGCAGCGCTGTCCAGCCTTTCTGCCACCCGAGCACCTGAGGCTTGTATGCCACAGCTTCTTCTGCTATATCCATGCGCCTTGACGTGTCTTGAAATGTCCATGCATGACCCCCTTGCATGGCCAGATGTTCATACTGCTCCCTTCGATAGCAATAAGGAGGGAGCAGGTTGTGGGGCATGCTGGAGTCCTGGCAGACCAGGGGCAGCCCCTCAGACAGCCAGATGAAGAGATGAACCGCAGAGCTCCATCAAAACATGAGAGCTCCAAGCTTTGGCAAGATGCTCAAGTTAAGACTCTTAACTTCCGTGATAAATGCAAAGAGCTCCCACAAAGCAATTTTCCTGCTTGTTTTCACAGTGAACGTGATTAAGAATTAAAGCAATTCAAAATTGAAGATGTGTTAAAAAAAAAAAAAAAAAAAAAAAGGGAGAGAAAGGAAAAAAGCTACCGAACTACCCACGAGGCAGAGAGTCCAAGGCCAGAAAAGGCTGTCATGTTTTTTTCATGCCCATTACACAAGCACAGGCAATCTACAGGCAATCTACAGGGCAGATTTCTCTCCCCAGAAAGTCACTGGTAGGAGCCTGCAAAAGTCCAGCATGTAGAAATCCCCGCTGCCTGCCTAAAATGCCCAAATTACACAGCTTTCGTATCTCACAAACATGTGAGCATGTGGGCCGACCGCAGCAACCAGCATCTCGGGTTACTATAGCACTGCTGTTCCGCGCCTACAGCCAATGTGGTCCCTTCCTTTATAAATACAGACTCCAACAGATCTCTTCAAGCAGATGCTATTGGATCATTCTACCAGCAGCTACAGAAAACTGGTATTTAAGTTCTTTCACAATCCCAACGTGTAACAGTTGAAGATGAGATCAGGAAAGATGTATATGACAAAGGAAAAAAAAAAAAAAACCCAGATGCAACCCAAAGCTGYGATATCCAGCTCGGTTATACAAATACCTGAGGAGAAGATGTAAAGAGGATGGGGTCAAACTGTTCTCAGGGGTGACCAGTGATAGGACAAGAAGTAATGGGCATAAATTTTTAAAAAATAAAAATGAAATAATTAAAAAGGAGTTTCATCTCAAGCTTCATCTTCCTCTTCATATGAGGAAGAACTTCTTTCCTRTGAGGGGGCCAGAGCCCTGGACTGGCTGCCCAGAGAGGTTGYGGAGTCTCCTTCTCTGGATATCTTCAAAACCCGCACGGATGCCACCCTGTGCCCCATGCTCTGGGTGTCCCTGGTCAAGAAGGGAAGGTTGGACTWGATGACCTCTAGARGTCCCTTCCAACCTTAACCATTCTGCAAATCCATGATTCTGTGATCAGAGGGCCAGTGAGATCAGTGATCTGATCAGTGGGAGCAGATTGACCCTTTCCCTGACATTATGGGCATGAGCACGTACTCTCCAGGGCATGGCATACATCCTCTGGGATGAGATCAGGTTTTATCTTCACCATCACAGTGACAGGATTCACTGAAACGAGGCAGTTCCCTCATCAGGCAGGCACCAAGCAGGCACAGATCAGCTCCCTCGACTGCTGCTTTCACAGAACTGCAGTGGAGACATTTTTGGCCCTCGGCCTTTGGGAAGGCAGGTGCCAAAAGGAGAAGTTTTCACGGGACTCATGCATACCTGTGATATCTGTCTGTGCATCTTCAGCCTCAGCTGCCGCAGCTCTGCTCTTCCTCTCCAACTCTTTCATTTCAGGCACATAAAAGTCCCCTTGGCGAGCAAGGGGACACACGAAATAGATTCGGTCTTCTTTGTAGATCTCAAGTCTGGGGTGGGCACACAGCTTCCTCTCCTGAAACAGAGCAGGCAAGCACAACATCAGGAAGGCTTCGTCCACCTCCGGCAGCCACCTCCTCMAGCAAACCTGCCGTGAGAGGCTGGTGGAGTTACAGAGCAACCAGCTTCAGCCCTGCTGCCAGTGCCACTTGTGCCCAATGGAGAGACAATGGGTGCCCTTCAGTGGATGCCCACAGGCCATCCAGAAGCCACAGTGCCCTCTTCCCCGCTGCAGCAGCAGCTCCTGCACGTGAAGCAGCGCAGCTTCGAGCAGCACAGGCCAGCAGCAAGCGGCTGTACCCGGCTCCCAATGGAGCTGCTGCACGGCTGAGCCCTGGGGAAGCCAACACACCCGCTCACCTCCAGCGGCCCCTTTCTGAAGACCTAACTCCTCCCRGTGATGAGCAGGGGCATTTTGGAAGAGCCTCATGGCACAGGCAGCGAGCCGGGGCGGGAAGTGCTCCCCGCCGCAGCGGTGCTTTGGGGGGAAGGAACAGGGGGCCTGCTCCACCACAGCACATGGAAGCGCCAAGGCCCTGCGCCCCACACCCTGCGACGTCCAAGTCCTGGTGAAAACACCAGCTCATCCCAGAGTCCGTGCAGGACTCCAGCAGCCTCAGGCCGGGCCTCTGCGGCCTGCCACCCCCACCAAGGGCCGGGGGGAACCCCACAGAGCTCCAAGCCCCCATCCTCTCCTCCCAGCACAGAGGCGAGCGCCCTTGGAGCGGCTGCAACGCTTCCCTGCTAATTAATATAATCCAGCAGCGACAGCTAAAGCAGCCCCTTTCAGGGATGCGAGGGCAGGGGGAGTTGCAGATGAACTTGCTGCACTTCAGACAATCTTCCCTCTTCCTCACCCAACTTCCACCTCCCACCCCAGCAGCCCACTCCAGGCTCACAGAGACCCAAGCATTCCTGGATTTCATCCTCTCCCTGTTCCAGCTCTACTTACAGGTCAGGTGAAGCCCAGGGAATTAAAGGGTGTGGAAGGACGGGATATGGGCCTCTCAAGACCAAGGGAACCAACCCAAGCTGTGCAGAGCTTGGGTCTGACTCCATACAGAAACGAGGCACTGGCTGCCCACGACCACCCTYTTCCTCCCTGTCCAGTCAGAGACTTCTTCAACCATTACAGGCCAAAGCAAGGTCTGAACAGCCTTCCAAACCCTCTGCTCAATCAAGAAAACCCCCGCAGTTTATTCCAATTGCTGCACCAAACCTCCTCTGCTCCCAGGAATGGACTGAGCTGCCTTCCAACCCTTGCTGCCCAGGGAATGGACATATGGGATATCACGGAGGTCCAAACCAAAAAGGTGGGAWATGGAGCAATGGTGATGAGCGAGCCTGGTTGGTGGATGACCTCTCAGCGATCCCAAGAAACTTCAAGCCCCAAAGTGAGGAGCTGACGGCAGCCATCACCTCTAAAACAGCAACGTTCAAGGCCAACAGCAGTCCCCAGAGGCCATTTCTACCTGTGGGCTCAGGACCTGCCAAGGTCCACAGGAGCCACCTAAGGACAGGCAGCACAGGAAGGAGGCAGGGACACCCTGCAAGGAGCACCCAGCACATCTCTGGGCCCCTCTGAGACACAGACCATTCAGAATATCCTTGCAGGTGCTGGCAGGGCCAGGGGCAACCTCCGCACTGACTTGTAAAGACCAGTTTCAAGCCAGGTTTCCTCTAAAGAGGGGCCAATACTCTGATTATAGGCAATAACCATTACCTCCAGTCAAATCAATGCTACCCAATTACTCAAACCTTCGGATCGGAGCCAAGCAACCTTTCCAGATGCCCTGAGGGGAAGTATGGAAGCAGGACATACAGTGAGAAAAGCCAACGTGAAAGCCATTTTCAGGCCTAGTCTTTCCGGGAAAGCCACCGGGAACCCTGACAGCTCAATGCCCTGGATAAAGTAGCCCAGGGTATTTTGCGTCAGGTGTGTAAGGCCCACAGATATTAGTGAAAATCTTCACTTTCTCTCCACGGGACATTATGTTTCCCTGCAAAACAGTGGTGGAAACATGACTTGTAAGCTTGGAAAATATAGGGGACTGCTGATGGAGAGCAGGTTGATGGGAGCAAACTCAAGCCTGGGCAGAGCTGTGGTAGGTGCACAGGACTTACCTGTCCCCTTCCAACGTTTCAGAGCCCAGAYGAGCTCAGATCCAGAGTTCTGGCAGTGTCTTTTATCCAACTAACCAAATGAAGGCAATTTGTGAAATCCCAGCCCCTTGAAAACTCMTGACTAGGCAGGGCCCAGAGGTCAGGCCTGGTCCCCGTTTAACTGGGCCACACAGACAAGCCCCTCAGACAAGCATCAGTGTTGAGCGGGGAAAGCAGCTGTGCCAGCCCCGTGCCGCAGGAACAAGGAAATGCTGCCCCCTCCAACACCCCGCACGGGCGATACCTCTTGTGACCAAGCCGAGAGCGGGGCTGAAAGGAAACCGCGTTTCTGACAAGCAGGCCAGGAGAGAGCCCTCCAAGAAACGCACGGGCAAGTTTCCAAGGCATGCACAGCCTCCACTTCCCACTTCTCAGGCAGGTGAAACAGTAACACACACACATAGATCAAAAGCGGATTAAATAAAAACAAGTCGAGTTGTTTTTAGCAGCAGAGCAGAGGCGGCTCTTGTAACTCTGTCTTTTTAAGCAACACCAAGCAAAAATCCTCCCCACCACTCTGCCCCTTGCTCTGCTACCAACAAGCCCATCAGGGAACTTTCAGCTCCCTTTGTTATTTTAGGTTCCTGCAACACACACCAGAGATCTCCGAGATTCACCGCTTTTCTGGAGGGATCTAGCTGCCCCTCCACCGCTTAATGCAGGCGAGGCCAAGGCAGAGGATATTAGAGCAGAGACCCTCACAAAGACTGACATATTCCAAGTGGCCTKAAACTTGGGGGCTGTAATCCAGCCTCCAAGATATCTCAAGGTGCCTAYTCAAAGTCCACCCTGGGCCTTCCGAACAGTAGGTCTGGGACCTGCTCTCTCAAAAAGATTACGTCGAAGGCTGCTACAGCTCCCTTCCCAATCATAGAGAAAAAGTAGTGACTTCCTTCCAAGCACAAGCAATGCCCCCTTTCATRCATATGAAAAGCAGGAATCATGGTTTTCTAAGGAATAAAAGAGTATGAAGGGCAAGGATTTGCAACTTGATGCAAGGATTTGCAACTCAACAGCAAGATCTGTAACGGAGACAAATCTTTTTCCTGCTTTGGGACTGTCTGGTAAGAGAGATGAGGATGCTCTGTCCTGCCAGAGTAGGGTTGGGAGCTTTCATTGGAAGAAACTTAAGTCTCCTAGATCCTAAGTCACCACTAGCAGCAGCTTCCCACCACTTTTGAGTGCTCAGTGCCAGGCTGTGCCCACTACCCCTCCGGATCATCCACGAGCTGCAGAGCCACTAAGCGCCGAGGCCGAGGGGACRCTCTTGGATGCCCCTCCACCACCAACGTGCACTGCTGGGAAGGAAGCTGCTTTCCCAGCTGCCTAATTTATGCCTTTGCAAATCAAGTCACGATGCAGACTAGGGAGCCAGCCCTTCACTCGGTGCCTTTTCCTCCAGCAGCCCAGCCCCTTGCAGGGCCACCGAGCCCAGGAGCGACGGGCAGCACAGGGCACCGCGGCACACGCGAGCCCTCACCCAAGAGCTTTCGCTCACCAGAGAGAAGGGCCTGGGGCAGGGGATGAGGAAGGCACATGAAGGGACATGCTGAAGGCTGCAGCCCCATTGAGGAGAGGAGCAAGTGCTGCAGAGGGAGCTGTAGAAGGTGCAGAAAGGGAAAGCAGAGCACAGATCTGAGGTGGCCGAACAAGGCGAGGAACATCCTCCCATCCAGGCTGGGACCAAGGGCATGGGGCTTGAGGAGACGAGGCAGGAGACAGGACTAAAGACAGGTACATAAAGACAGGCGCATAAAGGGAGAGGACAGGCACAGAGGGAGGTGAAGCAAAGCGCCATCAAGAGGCAGGGGTCAGTGTGGGACAGAGCAGCCAGAGCATTAACTCAGATGGGAGCAAAGTCACAATCCAGCTGCAAGAGAGAGAAATAACCACGAAAGACTTGAGGCCAGAGTCCAACAGCAACAGAGAAAGTGCACTGTGAATTAGCAAAGGCCCCACAATGTCACAGAACAATAGAGAAGTTCAACAGGCCGTAAGTTTTGCAGTCAAGAAACAAGTCCCTCCATTAACTGTGCAGCCAACAGACGGAGCAGCAAGGTGGATGTGGAAGTTTGCTGGGAAAAGCCCTGGAGCCAGATCCATGGCGGTCTCGCGCAGGCAGAGAGCTCACCGAGACGTGAACAGCGCGACGTTGAGAGCAGCAGGGGCCAGGCCGCCAGCAAGGGAGGCAGAGCCACRGTAACTGGGGCAGAAAACGGGGAGAGTCGCTCCCCAAGGTCGGACAGCATCATGTCTGAGTCCCTGCCACGGGGTCATCCCTCCTAAAGGAGCCAAGACCAGCTAAGCCCAGACCAGTTGTATCCAGGTAGAAGGGTGACAACCAACRGAGATGGAGGTGCCCGTGCAGGGCACGAGACTCCTTTAATTCTATGCAGGATTCTCCAGGTGGTTTTATACATAGATATATCTATAGTGACACAGATATAGTGATGGGTGACATAGATGTATATACATATGCCTGTGAAAGCATCAGATTGACCGCTCGCAAGCCATAGCATCAAGTGACACACACGCAGCGCATCAGCTTCATCCTGACGTGCCCACAGATTCCTGCTGCGTCAGACCTACCGCTGCACGTGAAGCCAATTCCTTCTTGCCCCATCCAGGGGCCATGTTGAGGAGACGCTTGCCATCATCTCAGGAACCATCTCCTACTCAGGGGAAGATGCTCAGCACTCTTCTTTCCCGCATGAAGCAAACACCATCCCCCTCATCTCTATCGCCAGGCCCCGTTTCCAGCTCACACATGATTCCCTTGCTCTCCCCGGGACTTTCTCCCTGCTGTGCCCATGTTTACAGAAAGAGAAAAGCATCCCTTACAGAAAGGCCAAG